ACCCCGAGCAGGAGACGCCCCCTCACCTGGTCCCGCATCCTCTCCTGCTGCCCCCGCAGCGCCAGCGCGTGCTGCGGGTACTTGCTCTTCAGGTGGTCCATGAAGGCGTCCCTCTTGCGCTCCATCTCCGTCTTCTGGAGGCCGGTGAGGGCCTCCAGGCTCTGGGCGGCGATGACGGTGTGCCGGCGCTCCGAGGTGTGCACCAGCCCTACGTTGGAGAAGCGCCGGGTGCCGTTGCCCAGGGTCCGGTACTCCCGCGGGTACTCGGCATCGTCCGCGGAGATCATGTGGCTGCTCGTCCTTTCGGGATCTGCGCGGGGCGGGCAGAGCACAGCGCGGTCAGGGCCGGCCCCCGCTGCCACGGGGAGCAAGAGATTTGGGGTGGGGAGGGTTTGTTTAAGCCAGGGGTGATGGTTGGGGCTGGCTGGGAGCGGGGTGGTCCCTCGGTGGGATGAACGGGGAGGGGGTGCGGGGTTTATCCCTCTGCGGTGTCCCCGCTCCTGGGCACGGGGCTGGGGGTGGCAGGAGGTGGAGGGGGCAAGGGGATGGAGGGGCTGGGATGCCACCAAAACCTGGTGGTGGTAGGAGGTGGAGGGGGCAAGGGGATGGAGGGGCTGGGGCAGTGGGGGGGATGTAAGGGCTGGGATGCCACCAAAACCACGATGTTCAGAGCGAAACAGGAATTAAACAGCGTTGGGTCATTAAAACAGCACAGACAAGACACGGGAACTGAGCACTGCTCTGAGGCACAGACAGACAGAGGACACGACACAGGACAAACCAAAAAGAAAATTAAATCAGGCCGGGGGGGGGGGGGGGGGGGTCGTGTCTGCCCGTCAGTGTGGGCACTGTGCCGGGGGGGCCAGGCCCCCCATGCCCTGCCAGAGACCCCAGTGGAGGGCTCAGCCCCCCCATCCTGCAGCTGCTTCTCCCAGAGACCAGCCCAGCCCACGGCAGCAAACCCGGCATTGCAGGGATGCTCTGCCCCATGCCAGCCCTCTCCCGGAGCTCAGCCCACCCCGGGCAGGCAGGGAGGGGGCAGGGGGGCAGCCAGGGGGTCACACGCACAGTGAGGCAAAAGGGACTCGTCCCTTTGCTAATAATTCATTCCCTGCACGTTGTGACTCTGATTTCCAGGGAAGCTCAGCAGTGCTGAATGCCTGGAAGTCCCCACACGCTGCCAGTGCCTGGCACCTCCTCAGTGACTGCGGGACGAGGCCACCCCGCAGCCCTCACTGCCCAGCCCCGTGCCCGCTGCAGAGCAGCTCCAGGGCACCCTCTCCCACCCCAAAAGCCACTGTTGAGTGTCTCATGTCATCTCAGAGCCGGTGTCACCCAGCCCTGGCCCGGTCCCAGCTGTCTTTGCCACCACTAACTAGTTTGGCAGCGGGTGCTGCAGGGCTCCACCGGGCTCAGGCTTCCCTTTCGATCCCCTTTTAACCTTGATCCATTATTCATCTCCCTCCTCGTCCTTTCTCCCCCCACTCCCTTCCTTCCCAGAGCTCCCGTCAAGCAAATCGTAGAGGGTTTCTCCTTCTCCCTTAATTATTTATCAGCCCAACATATTAGCTTTGTGTGGGTGTTATTAATGCAGGATGGGACTCCAGCGTGTGCTACGGACACGATTCCTCTGCTCAAGGTCGTACAAGGGGGTTTGCTCCGAGCCAAGTGGGGACATCACACGCTCAGCAAATGCCACGGGGACATCCCAAAGCCTGATTCCCGTTGCCTCCTCCAAAAAGCAACCAGTCCAGCTCCCGTCCTGCCACTGAATGTGACCTTGGCCAGGCTGTCACCCCCTTTCCCAGAAGATCTGCAGCTCCCGTCCCTCCCCAGCTCGCCCCGCTGGGTCCCCGTGTCACAGAGGAGGGTCACAGGGGCACATCAAAAACACCCTGAGTTCCCCCAGGGAACAGAGTCAGAGGGGACACCTCAGTCCCACTGCTGGCAGAGGAAAAGGCAGCTCAGAGAGGGGCAAGGGCATCGCCCCGGGGTCCCACTGGCTGCGGAGCCGCTGCCAAACCCGGCACTGACGGGAAACACGGACGGAGCAATTTGTCCTGAACACCCCAACCCAGCCCCAGGAGCTGCTTGCTCACCTCTCCCCTCATGTAACAGCCCCAGAACACATTTTTCTCCCTGGGGGTTGCTGATATCAGGCAGAAAACTCTTTCCCCCCCCTCGTCCGGTTGCTCAAGCACTTCTTCTGTGACCACAGAGCACCAGAGACGTGTTTGGGGGGCAACTGTGCCCAGAGCCCAACACCCAGCCCAGCCCCAGCACTGGCAGTGCCCTGGAGCACCCCTGGGTGCTCCCAGCTCAGTTTGGGGCAGTGGGACCCCCAGCACCCCCCAGCACAGGCACTGTGCCCACTGTGGTCCATCCCCACCAAACCAGCCCCTCGGCAGAGCCGGACCCTGAGCGCCACAGGGACTCCCAGCCTTGTCCTATCCCATCGGAATGGTGCACTGGGAAGGTTGGGAAAGAGGGATGAAGGGCCACCCTGACAGCTCCAGCTGCAGCAGTGACAGGGCTGGGAGGAAGGAGCTGCAGCTCCTCTCCCTCGCTGAGGAGAGCGGCTCGAGGAGGCCTCGAGCCAGAGGAGGACACAGGGACGGGGATCTGGGGGTTGTGAGAGGGGCTCGTTCCCTGCAACCACCTCCCGGGTGCCTCCACCAGCCCCGGGTTCAGCAGCCCTGGGATGGGGCCGTGTTTCCAGCCCCTTCCCACCCTCCTCCTCCTCCTCCTCCTCCTGCCGCTGCCGTGATCAGCATGCAGCTCCCCGCTCCCTAATTACATGCTCCGGGAGTGGAACGCGCCAGCTCTCGCTGTTCCCTCTGCCGACTGCTAAAAAGGATGATTTGAACAGCCCTGCACGAGCTGCACAGGGGTCAGAGCCAAGCTGGAGCCCGTCGGGGGGCTCTTCCACCCCCGGCTGTGCCACATCCATTCCCACATCCATCCCCAGGGCAAAGGAGGGAGACACAGCCACAACACCACGAACCCCGAGATCCGAGAACCTCTCCAAGGCAAGAGGAGGAAAAGCCACTGCAGACACGTGTACCGGCCTCATGTCAGCCACCTTTTCCCTCCAGATATCCCAGAGATGATATCGGACAAGGAAACAACCACCAGCTGGGACACGGGGGGGCTCTTTGGGAAAGGTACCCTAAAACACTCACAGTGGTGCTTCCCTGGCACTATCCATGAGAAGAGGGTGCTAAACCTTCCCTCACGGACTCTCCCCGAGGGTATAATTCCATCCCGCCGCCCCAAAAGGCCCCCACAAAGTTGTTTCTCCTCCTCGCCGAGCGCGGGGATGCCGGAGCAGTGGTACCCACACAGTGGTACCCACACAGTGGTACCCACACAGTGGTACCCACACATGGGCTGCCCACGACAGCAGCAGCAGCAGCAGCAGCACATCCCTGGAAAGTGCTTCCCGCCGCTGCTTCCAAGTAGGTCACTGGGGTGGGAGAGCCGGTGGCCGGAGCCCGCACGGGGTGCCCACCTCGGCAGTGCCCCAGCCCAGCCCAGCCTGGCACAGGGTGTCCCTGTGGGATGTGTCCTCCCCACCCCGGGGACCGTCCCATCGCTTACCCGCGGGCGCAGCTCGGCTCCCACGGCGACCGGGAAAATGCTCCGGCGGGCTGGGGGCTGCAGCCCCCCGGGGCTCTGCAGGGGCTGGAGGCGGCTCCTTGGCCGAGCGCAGGGCTCCCACGACAGCCAAAATCCCGCGGTAAATCCTGGCCAGCCCCTCTCCGAGCAGCGGGAGGTTAAGGGAACGCGGTTCTCTTTGCCGATTCATCCATCCATCTTCCTCACCCGCCAGCAGAAGGGGTCACCCGCGCCGGGGCACGGCCCCGGGCTGCTAGCAGGGTCCGGCCATCGCCTGCTTCCCGGGAAAACAGAGGCGCCGGGGGCACCGGAGCCTGACCGTGCTTTAGGTGATGCTCTTCAGGGTGGGGAAAGGCCCCCAAAAACCTTCCCGGTGCTGCGGGCGCTGCCCCGCGAGAGCGGCTGCGGGCTCGGCGGCGCGGTGCGCCCGGGTCCCCCCGCCAGCAGCCCGGCGGGGCTTTATCATCAAAAGGATCTTTTCAAACACAGTTTATTACTGCAGTTTCATAAATCTTCATGAGGCAGCAAAGCTCACGCGGGTCGTGAAAGCGCCGGCAGTTAGCGGAGCATGAAAAATCGGCCGAGAGAGCGTTCGTACAAAAAGGGGCGAGGGGAGGGGAAGCGGAGAGTGCATCTGGGGAGAAAGGGAGGCGAGAGAATAGAAGCCCCTCGGAGCGATGCGTCTCCCCCGCACCCGGCCATTAACGCAGCCGGAAGAGCGGGATGCACTTGCTTCCTCCCAAAGGCTGCACTGCCGCACTGCCAGCGCTGCCTGCTCAGCACCCACGGAGGCTGCCCAGCACCCAGAGCCCTGCTCGGCACTAACCCCTTCCGTGCCAGGCTCCCAGGGATGGGAGGGAGGGATGGGAAGCGCAGGGAGAGCCCGCAGGGCTCCCGCGCCGCTGCAACTTAACTCATGTCGTGCTGCAGAAACACCCACCCCTTCCTGAGCCGGGACCTGCTGGCATCAAATCACAGAATGCTGGAACGGTTTGGGTTGGAAGGGACCTTAAAGTTCCACCCCCTGCCGTGGGCAGGGACCTTCCACTAGATCAGGTTGCTCAGAGGCACCTTCAGAGCCACTGCTGTCCCCGCCCCTGGCTCAGCCACGCTCTGTTTGCACTCATTTTGGGATGGTCGAGTGCCCTCCGGGACCTGCCCCGGGCTCACCCTCACAGCCACATCCAAAGAGTGCTGGGAGCTGCCCGGGGTTATCCGACTGAAACCGTGCCCAGGAGCAGGGACAAGGCAGCCCCCACACCAGGGGACACACAAGTGCCCTCCCCCCGTGCCACTGCCATGTGCTGAACGGGTCCAGCCACCACCAGGTCCGGTCACTTAAAATCAGCTCTCAGAGAATTAAACTCCTGTTTTCAGTCGAGCCCACGGGCTGTGGACACCCCTGTCCCATGGGAATGCCGGGAGCTGGACAGACCCAGGGTCCATCCCAGCATGGGAGGGTGGGAGTGAGGGGTCTGCTCTGTCTCCTCGTCCCTCACAGCAACACGGGGAGTGAAAGCTGAGGGCGACTGGGCTGGAGCTTCCCCACCGTCCTCTTGCTCCTGGGCTGATGGACACCCTCCACCAAACCTCCTGGGAAAAGCCAGGGGATGCCAAGACCACCCCTAAGGAACCATTAACATCCATCCCAGGATTAATCCCCCTCACGCCCTGCAGCCCCACGGGATGGCAGAGCTGTGGCTCTCCCACCTCCTCTCCCCATCCCTGAGGATCCCCCAGCACTGCCTGGGCTCAGCAGCAGCCAGCGGGCTCCCCGCCGTGCCTTTCACTCCCAAATTCAAACAGAACCAAGGACAATAAAACACACCCCAACTGTTTCCTCAGGAACTTCCCAGCTGGGTCAGCGCAGACCCCGCGGCCCCGGAGCCAGGATGCCACTTGGCTTCTGGGCAAGGGCAGGGGCACAGTGCCCGTGCACGGTGGTGGTCCGGGTGTGATCCAGCCTGTTCCCAGCCTCTACGTGCCCTGGATGCTGCCTGCACCCTCCCTGCATCCCACTAATTCCAGCCCTGCAGGGACAAGGAGTCCGGAGCCACTCCGTGTCCCGGTGCACACTGGCTGCTCCCAGCTGGAGCTCGGAGAAGTCCAGCTGGCATCTCTCCACGGCGCTGCCCTGACAAGCAGCTCCTTCACTTTGGAAGCGGAGAAACCACCGGATAAATTCGCATGTCATTTGTCAAAAACCCAAACCGAAGGAGAAATCCCATCTGGCCAGCCCTGGAAAAAGCAGCAGCCGCTTCCCACCTCGCCGGGTGTTATCCCGCCCACGTGGGCACATGGAAAAGGGAGAGACGAGTTCACCTCCTCGCTCCCGGGGAACGGCAGCGCCGAGGGAAGGGCCGGCACACCTGGATGCTCGCTCGGAGCTCGGGATCAGCACTTCAGTGGGATTCAGGAAGGAGCTGCCCTGGGTCAGCCGAGGGAAAACAAAGCGGGACAGGGGCTGAGAGACGGCGTGGGAAGGACGGCTGAGGAAAATCTCCCCGCTGCCATCGGCTTCCTCCCAGACCTTTGGCAGGAGGCCAAGGCCGGCGGCACCCTCTGGGCACGGAGAACATCCCTGCCCGGGGCCCAGAGGAGGACGGAGCCCTGCGTGCCCTGGCAAGAGGCGGCAGCATCCTGGGCTGGCAGGGAAGGCACAGCGGCTGGGGAGGTGCCAACAGCCGGATAAAAATAAAGGAGAGGGGAGGATGGCCAGGGCCGGGCTCATCACAGCTCCAACACCAGCCACTTTGTGGGCTCGTCTCCCACCCTGGGTGGCACAGCCGGGGCCTGGCAGGGGATGGGATGGGAATATCCCAGGAATAACTCCAAGCCTGGGGGTCCATCCTGAGCCCCGGAGAGCAGAGGGAAACTGAGGCACCGACAGGAGGCACAGGCAGAGAGCACGGGTCCAGCTGCAGGGGGGATGCTGAGAGGGGAGGGGGCCCAAGCCAGGGTGGGAGCAGGGGGATGTCACCATCAGTACCGAGCCTGTCCCAGAGGGACCAGGAGTTTTCCCAGGATTTTGGCAGCCCCTGCTGGCTCCCGCTGTCGTGTGGCTGCCTCTGTGCAGGGCGTGTGTGGACGAGGGGCAGTGACTCACCCCCAGCCGTGTGGTGAAGCAGAGCCAAGTCTCCCTGTGAGCCAGATCCCCCCCACCCCGATCCTCAGCCTGGTGGGAGAAGCCTTTGGGATGAGCCCAAGGCAGCAGCAGGAGCTGGACCCCAGAACCACTGCAAAGCTGCCCCTGCAAAGCTGTCATTTCCATCCTCCCTTCCCCTGGAGGGGGGGAATTCTGCTGCTCAGAGAACCCACCCTGCCCTGCAGGTCTCCCAGGAGGATTCCCAGCACTGACCAGTGCCACAGTTTGGGCTCAGCCCCAGGGACACCCCCGTCCCCACCACGCTCTGGCAGAGCCGGTCCCAGCCCAGATCCTGCTGCTCCCACCTCGAGCTGTTCAGGCAAATCACCCTGGAAATCAATTCCAAGCTGTCAGGCATCAGGAAAGGGATAAACTGCCCCCTCAAGACACCAAATCGATGGTTCCTCTTCAGCCAGGCACAGGGAGCATGGGGGGATGATGGGGGGGTTGGGGTCCCTCTGCAAGCAAGAGCTGGGTCCAGGTGGAAGGAAAGAGCCCCCAGAGCAGCTCCTGTTGTGGCACAGGGCAGGGAAGATGTGTGTCCATGTACTGTGCAAAACTGTTCCATGGATGGATGGACAGGGAAGGCTCAGGAGGCTGCAGCTCCAGCCTTTCCCAATACCCTGTGACTGCACATATTTACTGGGATAATGGCAGGACCTCATCCCAGACCACCAGCAGGGCTGGGGGTTGGATTCTTATTCTCATCTCTCTGCAAGCAGAACAAGAGGGCAGGGGCTGGAAAGGCCACGGAGCTGGGGAAGGCAGAGAGGAGGAGGGGGAGGAGGAGAAGGGTGGGCTGGAGGGGACACACATCGAGATCAAAAATCGATTCCTGACAGGACCGCTTCTTTCTCTAATGAGACACTGAGGAAGTCACTAAACAGAGCAAGGCCACCACAATCAGAGAATCCCAGAATGGTTTGGGTTGGGAGGGACCTTAAAGCTCATCCAGTGCCATCCCCCTGCCACGGGCAGGGACACCTTCCACCAGCCCAGGTCGCTCCAAGCCCCGTCCAACCTGGCCTTAGACACTCCCAGGGATGGGGCAGCCACAGCTTCTCTGGGCAACCTGTGCCAGGGCCTCCCCACCCTGATGTTAGAGAATTTTTATCTAACATCTGATCTAAACCTCCTCCTTTCAGTGACAGGAGAAACAGGAAGGAGCAGAGTGGTGCAGCAGGAGCCTCCAGCCTGTCCCACGGACATTGGCAACCACCAAGTTAAAGCCAAGAGCCGGGCACGAGGTCCTTTCCATCCTGCATCCCTCGTTTCCATCCTGCATCCCTCATTTCCATCCTGCATCCCTC